TGCCCTAGAGGGAAAACCTCTCAAAAAAAAAAAAAAAAAAAAAAAGAAGAGGAATCTATTTCCCAATCCCTTGGATCTGGGCTGGCCTGTGACCTGCCTTGGCTGATAGAACATAGGTGCCATGGTGCGGCTCCGGAGGCCTTCAAGTTCCCTCCTGCTCTATTGGAATCCTGCCCAATGGCTATGAGGACAGCCTGGGCTAGCCCTGTTGTATGATGTCTTCACCGTCCTGGTCACTTCAGCTAAGAGCCAGCCCATAACCAGCCCTCCACCCACCTGCTGGCTGGCTGCAGATACCTGAGTGACTCCAGCTGTTGTTGGCTGGATCTGGCTCAGATCAACAGAACCACTCAGCTGACCCATAGACTGATGAAAAATAATTGGTTGTTTTTAGTCATTAAGTTTTGAGGTGGCTTATTACACAACAATTGTTATCTGATACATTTACTTCTGGTTCTAAATCCATGTGTTATGTCTGAAGATCTTCAGAAGACAAAGATGTGTCCTACCTGCCCCATATCCACAGAGAACACCCACTCAGTGTGCAGCCAGGGTCTGGGGAATTAAATTGCACCCAGTTTGCTTGAGTGCTCTTTGAAAGAGAAAAGGAGGCCAGTGGGGAGTGGGAGGAGATGGGGGTCTGTGAAAGAAGGGTCACAAAACTGTCTTTGTATGTCTTTTCCATACTGATCAATGTGTCCCCAAAGGGCAGAACTAGGGACAGTGCAGGAATTTTATCTGGAGGATGTGCTGAGTTTGACGTAGAGGAAGCTCATTTTCAATCCATTTGAATTCCATGAAGTAGAAATGGGCTACTGCTGCGGGTAATGAGCTCTCTGGAATTAGCAGTGTCCAAACAGAGGCTGAGGAACTCCCACTTGGAGGGATTGGCCAACTTTGAGTGAGATTTACACTAAGCAGCCTTGGACCTAGATGGTTGAGTCTTGGTCTGTGACCCTGTAGGCCATAAAAGGTTCCTAAAGACCAACATTCTGTCACTCAGTCAATCTGGGCCCTATCTCTTAGCCACAGGGACATCCTTGGGCTCCACTTTTGGTTTAGGGAAGCAGGGTGCCCACTGTCCAACAGTGTTTGAAATCCTTCATATTCCTAGATCCTCTACTGCCAGTGGGAACTCACTTCCCCTTTCTGCAAGTCATCTAGTCTTTGGGGAGGAGGGATCTTCTCCCCAGGACCTCTCTGTCACCCTCTCCATTCCTCTCCAGCTGCTCCAACCACACTTTCCTGCTCTGAACTCATATGACTGCATCCCCCCGAGACTTGATTGTAACTCACCTCCACCCCCACCATTTCCCTTTCTCAAACCAGTCACCATGCTTGGGCACATGAGTAAGGGGAACACGTAGTGACATTTTTTTTTTTTTGAGAGGTTTTTGCTATAGGGTGTGTGCGCTCACCAGAAAGAGTATTTCCCTTTCTCAAACCAGTCACCATGCTTGGGCACATATATGTGAGTAAGAGGAACACGTAGTGACATTTTTTTTTTGGAGAGGTTTTTGCTATAGGGTGTGTGCGCTCACCAGAAAGAGTGGGACAGAAAGATAGAAAGCAAGAAATCACCCCCTCTCCACCAGGGAGGATGGCCATGTCGCAATTCCTTCTCCTCCATTCTCCTCTCGAGATCTTGGGCACACACGCACATGTTCCTGGCATGAGTTTAAGACACTGGGTCCGGGACTCAAACTGCGGTCGACTACATAGGAGTTCAGCAACATAGCCATTAACGCTAACTGCTGGTCCCTACATGACATGACATTTTTAATCCCAAAGCTCTGTGCACGCCCCAAAGCCCTGAGTTGATAGAAACTCTGGGAGGCAGTTGAATCTCAAAGTTCCAAAGGTCTAGGGTCTAACGGTGATCATTCTAATGAAACTCTCCCATCGCACTGGAAGACCCTTTCCTTCTAAGGAATATGTCTGAAGACCCAGCTGTCTCACTTTGACACCCCATCCTGCCATTTGCCTCTCCATTGGTGTGTATTAGGCAAGGACCAGGATCTTTTCTTGCGTATGTGTGTTCCATCCAGAAGAGGACTCCGAGAGAGGGTTAGTACATCTGCTCCAGAGCAGCTCTTTACAGTATTTCCAGGAGGTAAAGAGCACAGGATGGAGGAGGGGCCTAGGACCATTGAGGGTTAAGGGTCATGGGACACCAAGAGGAAGAATCTGAGAGTTTTCTTATGTTGCTTTTGTTTGCTAGAGGGCATGTGCACTCAATGGAGAGAGGGAGGGAGAGAGAGAGGGAGAGAGAACAAGAGGAAGTGCCTTCCCATGGGGGACGGTCATGCCAAAGTCATTTTTCCTTTCAGGACTTTGGGCATGCACGTACAAACTACCAATGTGTTTTTCAAGCCACTGGGTCTGGGTCTCAAACTGCATTCGGCCATATGGGATCCAGCTGCCTTAACCGCCACACCACTGGTGGGTTCTGAGAGTTTTTAATATTCCCGTTGACATTTGTTGTAGTGTCCTTTAGCCCTTAACAAACCACTGCTGTTGAGACTGGTCCTGGAAAGGAGTGATGAGCTACTGATAGGCATTTCTCATTGGTCATTAATTTCTAGTGCCTACAAAAGAGAAAGGGAGGATCCTTTTTAAACAGGTCAAGTAGGTATCTATTGCTGTGTGACACATTGTCATTGACTTCATGGTTTAAAAGAACACCCACTTATTATCTCATGGTTCCCATGGGTCAGGAGTCTAGGCCTGGCTTAGTTGGGTCTTTTGCTCAGGCTCTGAGAGGCTGCGTTCCTTCCTGGAACTTGGGGTCCTCCTTGAAGCTCATGTGGTCATTGGCAGAACTCAGCTTTGTATGATTGTTGGACTGAGGCCCTCAGGTCCCTGTCATATGACCCGCAAAGGCAGTTGACATCACTGTAGCTCACCTTTCAAGGCCAGCAGGAGAATGTCTCCAGTCTGCTAAGATGGGCTTCATATAGTGCAAGACCCACTCCAGGGAGGAAAATCCTACCACGCAGCAAGTCCTGGGTTCTACCCACACTCGGGAAGAGGGCTTATATACGGAGGGTCATCTCAGGGTGTGTGTCACCCTGAGTATTTCACAAATCTCATTATCTTAAAAGGGCTTACGGCAGAAATGGCAGAAGCAGCAAGAGACTTGAGTGAAGATGGGCTGGAGGAAACAGAGGACCTGGGACCTCTTGAACTAGACGACAGTGGTAACGAAGTCCCCCACATCCTTG